GGTATGTTCATGCATGATTTACTTAATGCAATAGATTTTATTCAATTCAAAGCATCATTTTACTCCACTTAAGCCAATAATGTAGAGGAAATGTTGCTGCAACTACAAAAATATAAATTCTCATATAGGCGCTATATAAGTTGAAAGATACTTTGTATTGCACATAAAAGTTGAAAGGAATTGACATCTTTGTTGCTTGTTTTTACATCTAAAAATAAAACTCAGGCATTATTAGGCAGCCAAAATGGGGCCACCTAAAAGATGTGCATAAGGCAATAAAGCTCTGTGAGGCAGCAATGGTGGCAACTGATCCCACATACCCTTCTCTAGGTGCAAATTTGGAGGTATGATCCATCATTACAGCTTTAACAGCGAAATATGCTCTTTTTCTATCTTTGTGTTGTAGACTTCTCGTGCTTAAGTTATGTAATTATGTTCTCTCTCTTTCAAATCCATTGCTAGTTTCTAGAAGCTTGACCATTTACTTATGCCCAGGAGACACTAATATATTATGTCATATTTATATTGTGTGGTTAAGTAGAGTCATCTAAGGTAGCTAAAGCAGTGTCAACTTGCTTCATTGACATACCTCTTTGAAGAATATACCAGTACCAATATAATACATTCATCATAAAAACTTTTGTGTTTGATTGCAAGCAAAATCCTTTTTAATCTTTTTGGCTATTAACCAAACTACAGGCTGTGATTTATGATAAAAATTTTCATTTAACTAGGGTGTTATATTGTCATGTACATAGTGCGAAATATTATATGAGCTTTGCCATAAGAGTCAAATGTGGTCATGATGTCAATTTTCTAAGTTATGTCTTTTGCAGTACTATGATTTTTGGTTGAATATATTCTTGTATCTTTAGAGGTTCCAAAGAATTCTACCTCATAGAGTTTCTCTTTTTCAGGCCACGGTATACAAAACACAATCAGGATTGTGTTCCGCATTTCTGGCCAATACGGATACACATTCTGATGCAACAGTGAAATTCAATGGCAACTCATATCACTTACCTGCATGGTCAGTGAGCATCTTGCCTGACTGCAAAAATGTGGTGCTCAATACTGCAAAGGTGTGTTTTATTTGTCAATAACATCTTATTACTTTTATCTAAGAATGGAAAAACAACTTTTTTAAGAGGATCTGTTTGGAAAAGAAAGTAGAAATTCGTTACTGCTCAGCATGTATTTATAAAATCTTGTATTCCATGGAGGCATTTTTTCTGTGAATATCTGGGCACCTCAAGTAATTCTTATCCAGACTAGTTTGGTTCTGTTAATTGTTCCAAGCTGTTCATTGCTCGATTGGAATTGCTATAGATTCCTACATATACCAAGCAGACAGATGACACTTGATTGAAATTTTCTTGTGCCAGATAAATTCTATGGCCATGCTTCCAAAATTCATTCCTCAATCTCTAAAATACAACCTTGATTCTTCTGGAGATATCCAGTCAACATGGAGTTGGTTTCGAGAACCAGTAGGTATATCAAAGACGCAAGCCTTTGTAAAATCTGGCCTACTGGAGCAAATAAATACTACAGCTGACAAAAGTGACTACTTGTGGTATTCATCAAGGTATTGTATTCAAGTCGTTGCTTGGTCTAAAAATATTGCTGAGTTATCAGTGGCATATATATCATCTTTATCACCATTGTTGAGTGGCTTGGGATATCTTTGAAACCTGAACTTAATGTATTACAGCATTACTATCAAAGGTGATGAACCCTACCTTCAGAATGGATCTCAGACTGTTCTTCATATTCAATCACTTGGTCATGGCCTTCACGTTTTCATTAACGGGAAGCTTGCAGGTAGAAATTACAGCTTTGTAATCACTACTACTACCTCCGTTTTTTATTAGTTGACACGTTTTGACTTTAGCACTATTCACACACTTCCCTTTGACCATGTTTTGTGATTTATATGTGAAGAAAAATATAGTCAAGTGAGATCTTGTTAGATTTGTCACAATGTATATTTTCAAAATATCAACTTTTTATAATTTTTATTTATCGATAATTAAAGATATTAAAGATGAATTTGTGCATTGGCAAACGTGACTAAAGAAACGTGTCTGCTAAAAAGAAACAGAGGAAGTATTAATTTTTATTATGAAGCAGGCTTGCTTAGTAAATTGAAAGTTTGTGTGTTACATAAAATTAGAATTTGGATTTAGGTGTTAATATTCTAAGGTGAAAATCCTTTTGCATCTTGTCTAAATTTTAACCAACGCTTTAGAGTGATGATATCCTTTAGTTCCCAATTTTTTATTAAGTGATGACAACTGCGAACTTGAAATGCATAACAAAATTATGTTTTAAAGCAACATTTAGGTTAATTTAGAATATTGAACTTGCTTCCAGAAGTATTCTTGTCTTTAGTCACCTTGTTCTTTCTATGATGATAATGCTTTGTTTACTGGACTTGTGGCCAGCTACCAGGTATTCCCCGACAGGAGATCATAAGATTTCAGTGGACATTCCTGCAACACTTAACACAGGAAACAACGCAATTGATCTCCTTAGCTTGACTGTGGGACTTGCGGTTAGTAACTAATAGTACTTTGATAAATTTCTGAGAACAACCAAACATATACAATAGTGAATAGTGTCAATTTTGACTCTCTGTTAAATCCATGATTTTTTGCAGAATTATGGAGCATTTTTTGATTTAGCGGGTGCTGGTGTTACTGGTCCTGCATCCTTTAGAAGCTCTAATGGTGGCCTTACTTTAGATCTCTCTTCTCAGTCATGGACATATCAGGTTTATCTTCTTACCTTGAGTAATTTTCTGCTTCTCAGTGAAATATATTTAATAAGGTAGCTATACAAAATATAGATAAGTGGCTGGATATGATGTCTTCCCTTTTTATACGAAAGCAGTCAAGCTTTATAAAGCTGAAGCAAAAGGAAAAGTAGAGAAAAGAAAATAGAAAAAGAAAAAGAATAAAGTGGCAAAGACAAAAGGAGTGGAAACATGTTCAGCAGTCTATTCCATAGATAGTGAATTTCCATTTCTGGATGTTCGAATCACACGTATTCTTCTCTTTATAAAATTTCAGGTTGGACTAAAAGGTGAAGACTTAGATTTAGCCAGTGGAGGTTCCTCTAATTGGGATTCATCAGCCTTCCCTAAGAACCAGCCCCTAACATGGTACAAGGTAATCTTATATTCTCACTTCATTTATGAGCAACAGCTAAATTATCTAACAGTTAAAAATAATTCTCATTCTTCAAGAAATTGCAATAATTTATTGAATATTTGCATATGGTACCATCATTTACATGCTCATCTGTCATCGAGTTTTGACTACCCTGCTTTATATATATATATATATATTTGCTTTATATATAATTGGGTAAGAATTCATAAGTTAGAGAAGTGTATTATATCTGAAGTATATACTTAACAAAAATCTGTCTATGCCAAATAACTGCAGCACTGACTCACTGAGTAAGAGTGTCCAACCTCTCAGTAAAGTAACTCAAATACCTGGTGTTTCGGTGACATTATTGCTTATTATTCAAGTTGGCTAAATGTCAAAGAAGATGTATTGTTCAATCTATTCATCTGGATGCAGGGAATACATGCGTATCTTTTAACATAATTACTTGTAATTGAAAGTGCTACATGCTTAGACAATCTATATGACACTAAGAATCTAAGATGTGAAGCCATAGAAGAGATGGCCAGCTAATCTCTTAATAATGTGAATTTTTGTAATTATGGGATGCTTATTCTGAAAATAATTACTTACTCAGACATCATTCAGTGCTCCTGATGGGAATGACCCACTTGCTCTGGACTTCACTGGGATGGGAAAAGGTGAGGCATGGGTGAATGGGCAAAGCATAGGACGGTATTGGCCAACTTTGAGCTCGCCAAGTGGTGGTTGCAGTGACCATTGTGATTACAGAGGGCCTTATAAATCGGACAAATGTCTCAAAAATTGTGGAAAACCTCCCCAGCAATTGTAAGCACCAGGAGTACTTTCCTTTTCACCCAAGTGAATTATCTACAAGTACTAAAAACTTAGAATCATGAACCTGCATCTTTATTTTTTATGAATTACAGGTATCATGTACCTCGTTCATGGGTAAAACCGAGTGGCAATGTTCTTGTGGTGTTTGAAGAGATTGGCGGAAATCCCACAAAGATATCTATCGCCACTAAGCAAGTTGGAAGCATGTGCTCACATGTATCAGAGACCCATCCAGCGCCTGTTGATATGTGGGATACAGATCAAACAGACAAGAAATTAGGGCCTATGCTTTTGCTAGAGTGCCCTGCACCACATCAAGTTATTTCTTCAATCAAATTTGCAAGCTTTGGTACTCCTCAAGGTTCTTGTGGGAGTTATACACATGGTAAATGCAGGAGCTTCCAAGCACTGCCAATTGTGAAGAAGGTGGGCCATCACATTCCTTGTGTTCTTCCAATCCTTTTCTAGAACTCGTATGTGCGTCACAAATTTTAGTTTATATCTGACTCTGACCATCAAATTTTTCATACAGGCCTGTGTTGGAGCTCGCAGTTGCAAGATTGGAGTGTCCATCGACACATTTGGTGATCCATGTAGTGGAGTGAAGAAAAGTTTAGCTGTAGAGGCTATTTGTGGATAGTTTGCTAGCATCTTACCAATTTGTGGGGACCAAAGCACAAGCATCATCCTCTTATACTTTGTTAAATAACGACTCCCATTTGTACATTCTTTCACATTATTTTCAAATGGAACGTATATCAAGTAATGAAACCAAATACGTTTTGAAGATGTTAGTGATACTTCAACATCTTCTTAATCAAGTAAACATATCCGATCTTCTGGGTGCCAATCAACTAGGTTTGCTGGTGTGATTATGATATTACCTTTGGGAATTTGGGAAAATGATTTAGCAGCTGAGATCGCCTTTGTAGTGCATTGCAATAGTTTAGTTATATCAAATTGGCATTGACAAATCCCTAGATAATTATGATGAAGCCAACAATATGATTGACATTGACAAAACCCTTGAAAAATTAATGAAGCCAACTTCTGTTGGTGTGACCGTGTGAGCACATATCGAATATGGACAATCATTTCAAAGTGAAAAATAAGTAACCTATATCTTCATAAGATTATCCTAATAAATCTTTAAATTAGAAGCAGGCTACAAGAGAGTGCTAAGAATATATGGGGAGTTCAATCTTTGTATCTTGCAAGGAATTCAAGTCTCCTGCTTTGATGATACTGCTTGAAGTCTCGGACTCTGTATCAGTCATGGTCTCTTCTCTAAGGTCGTTTACCATTTTTATGAAGTACAAATGCCTGTAAACAGCAATAAATTTATTCTTGTGACTTTCAATAGACAAGTTAAAAAAAAAAACCTCGGATAAGTCCAATAGTTACCATCTACTGTCAGCAGTCAATTCAGGATGGAAGGACGTTCCTAGCAAATTTCCTTGCTTTACAGCTACAGCCACTTTGTTTACAGATTCAAGATTCACCTACAGAAATTCAATCAAGTTCATCAGGTATGATGACAATTATGACATGAAAATGACCAACTATTCAGAAAATCACATTATTTATCAATACTTGATGATTTCGTCAAAAACAGATAACAAGCAACATTAACCATATACTATTACTTGTATTCTTTTGCACAAAGGTTGGCCCTTTGAACAAAAAGGGTTTCCGAATTTCCACTCTTTTCATGACAGGAGTCCATAATTTTGCATATCAATCATCAGCAACAAAAATGCCTGTTGGAAGTATGTCCTTCAAACAACATGCATTACTACTCTTAACAATAGTTTATAGGATTTGATACAGATAATGATTTGCTAGCTAAATTAAGTAATTGATATGTTTAGCTGGAAACTGCTATTAATTAGCACAATTAATGTAATTGGCTTGCAGCTTAATGTAAATTAATCATAAAGGGTCGATACAAGTATGGATCAGCTCTTGGAATTTGATGTAAATATATTTGCGGAGAAACATCAAATACGGATCTATACATAATTGATTATGAACCTAATATGAATATTATAAACCTCTTGTAGTGTGCCTTCCCTCAGCCGATTCGATTAGGTTACAGACTTCAAGACCCTCACACGAAGCTCATCTAATAGAGAGCAACATGTACGATCACCCGACAATACTCTGGACGTCACCAAAGTCTTTGGAAGATAATATGCAGCTAAGCATTTGTCCAAAATTCCAAATTCCAATGTCTAAGATCCCCCTCTTTCTTTTCCTCCATGTTCTCCTTTCCCACGAGTTTCTATAAACAACCCCCTTTCTATCTCCTCTATATTTCCACACTCATTTCTCTCAATAACTCTCAAATATAGCCTCATTAACATTCAGATATTATCCACCAAAATTTTATAACTTCTAATGACTTCTTAAATTAATATCCCTGTTCCCTAGCTCCTTTCTTTCTTCATCCGATAATTACTCCATTACCATCCACTACTTATCAAAAGTTCATTTGCAATCTTATGTAACCCATTTTAACAGTTTCTCCTCTTTAAAGGGTTGTTGCCAAGAGAACCTGTTGAGATCGAGATTAATAAAGCACTTCCTTCATCTACAGAAAAATATCCACTCAGGGTTAGGCTCACATGATAATACTCCTAATCAATTCTTTTAAGTTGCAAGTTTGCAACTAAACCAAATGACACACAAATTTAGTAAGAGAGAGAAAAGGAAAGGGGTATGGGATTTGCAAAATTAATCCATTGAGTAGAGAGTGTTAGTAAAAGGGGTGAGGTAATTTTGGTACTTTATTTAAACTTTCTAAGCTTGACTTCTTCCAAATAACACGCCTATTCCTAAATTGGAAATTGTTTCAACTTTCAACCTAAAAGAATCAGGCGAAGTAGTTTTTAGTAAGGCGGTGTAGCTCGTACAGGTTTTTTGTAGCGTAAGAAAAAAAATGCAAGTGAGAGAGATAGAGGGAAAGGGATCATTAGATGGAGAGATAGAAATAATGAAGGAAGGGGACCGCGAGGAGAAAGAATGGGAAAGAGAGGTGGTTTGGAAGACTTTTTTTATACATAAAGTAAAATATGTCATAAGACGAGTATATATGGGCATTTATTGGAAGGATAGAGAGAGTATATATGGGCATTTTATAATCCAAAGGAAAGGTAAGAGTAAAAAAAATTGGTGAGAGATAATTCTTCAATGTTGTTCTCAAATGGTTCCAAACCCCACGATTGTTTCACAAACCTTCTTGATTCACAAGTTCAAAGACTAATGGAAGGATTTCATATTATATGTCACGTTAAATTAATCATTTTCCAAAAGATGAAAACAAAAGGGAAAAAAAAAGATAGTAAGCTCTTGCATGTCAGAATCCATGGCTTGAAATGGCTATGGGCTAGGGCTACTAATCCCTAAATGAACCTGACCCAATGGTTGAGCAGCCTCTAACTACAATAAGGAGGCGTTTGGTATTAATATTGGAAATGGATGGAAAGGAAACAAATAAGAGCGAGGAAATGAATCATAAATCTTTTACCTTTTTATTGGTTTAGTTTAACCATGGAAAGGAATCACTTAAACCTTACTGTCTTTCTTTTTATATGAGGATAAAGGCAACTGTTACCTTAGGTTTTAGAGAGGTGATAAACCGGTGAAAACCATTACTCCTAGGTAATGCTAGCTTTTACTCAAACATTCTAACCAAAGACTTGGTAACAAGAATGGTTTAATTGAATTTGTTTCTAACACAAAAACACTCTTAACAAACATGCTCTAAATTAAAACTTGTTTCCAAGGGGACCAGAGAACTCCTCAAACATATGTACAAAGGACCACTTCTTAGACATCAATGCATCTGAAGGCCCTATGTATTAGGATGATCTTGTAGGGCCAACAACACATCAAATATAAAAAGGAGGTGGTTTTCGACAGTTATCAAGAATTATAGCAGAAAGGACCCTTGGATGTTCAAACCATAAAAGCATAAATAGCACCCCTTCATCTGGCCTAGATTCAAATTCTTTGGGACCTGCGGTTGAGATCAAGACCTGCTCCTTGTCAAGGGTTCAAACCTGCTATCTTCAAAAGTCCTCTCAGACAAGTCAAATTTTAGCTCGACTGACAAGAGGAACTTGAAGATAGGTAACTGGCTACTATAAACTCCTTTTAAAGATTCTTTTAACTCTTTTACTGTCCCACAAGTATCCAAAAGTAACAAATATCAAAATCAAATTACCTAGCCCTCATAGAAAAGAAAAATGTTCCACCCTTAAAATAGAAATGGGGGAAAATATTATATGAAGTATGCACTAACCTCTTGAATCTCCTTTATCATGTCTGAATTCTTAACTTTGTCAGGAATAGGAACTTCTGCCAAAACTTCAACTTCTGAGCCAACTTCAAGGATAGCAGGAGCACGGATGAATAAAGCACGAAAACCTAGAGGACCACCTTCTTTATCTGCAATATACGGCACAGGGATCTCTTCCTCAAAACTTTGTATCTGCAAGAATGAAACTCTATTATCTTAAGATCCACAAAAGATATAAGTCAGCAAAATAACAGAGTTCAAAAGTGCTTGGTTAGTTTAATGAAATCCAAATGCTACACCCATCAAACTTATAAGAATCTTACACATGGCAGGATTTACAAGTATAATAGAAAAATAAAACAAGTTGAAGCTCCAAAATGCCTAAAAATTCAAGTAAAGATAACTACTCGTAAACTCAACTGTATTATTCAAGCAAGGTAAAATCACGCTAACAAGAACAGCCTGAGGTTATCAATTTACACTCTAGACACCACATCCTTTCAGTCTAAAATTATCAGCCCTCTAAACTGCAGAAAATGCATAACATAGGTATCAAATAATGCATTAAAATCACCACTTCTCCATCAGATCCATCACAGAAAAGCCACATTGAAAAATGCAGCTTCATCAATCTTTTAAATAAAGATGAGAGATAAGAAAGTAGGTAAAACCAGCAATAAAATGCAAATTCAGCCGAACATGCAAACTTTCATATTACCAAAATAACCAACAGAGATCCAAAACTACCTGACTGCCAAAGAAATTTCTGTGGACTGTGCAATCAAGGCCACCAACAAGTTCCTGCCCACCAGTTTTCTGGCCTGAAAATTACAAGTCCTTTTAGTATTCCATAATTATAATATCTTCTAAAACACCCTAGCTGTGCCAATCTAGATTTTGAAGGCAACCACCAGAGATAGATTCTCAATTTATGCAAACAACCCCATTCTTTTGGGATTAAGACTTCGGTATTGTTGTGTTGAACATTTGCCAACAATTTAAGAATTATTAAGCTCATTCAATCATTGTCATTCCTCCTTGAAAGTAAAATCTAAGGGGATACATACATGCCTTGAATATACAGAAAAGGTATCTCTAATTGACAATTAAGAGATAATATTGATAAGAGATAAGTATACCAATAACTTTATTTGCCAAGAAAATCAGCCCTGCACAAGTTCCCCATACTGGCTTGCCCATCTTGACAAACTCCCTCAATGCAGGAAACTGTGAACACAATCAAACTAATTACTTCTTTCTGAATTCTCATCCCACAGTTAACTAAAAATAAAATTATAAAAGATTACAGCTTTCCCACTTCAAATTTAGAAACCCATCAAAAACCATAAATCATTAAACAAAATTAATGCAACCCCAGTTAAAATGAAACATCATAAATAAAAGCAAAGAAAACCCAATTCAAAAAAAGACAAACTAATTACTTCTTTCTAAATTGTAATCCCACAATCAACTAAAAATAAAATTAAAAAAGGTAACAACTTTCCCACTTCAAATTTAGAAACCAATCAATAATCATAAATCATTAAACAAAATTAAAGCAACCCCAGTTAAAATGAAACATCATAAATAAAAGCAAAGAAACCCAATTCAAAAAAAGATTAAAATTATAGAAAAGAGATATACCATGTTGTTTAACTCGGCAAGTTTAGCCATGGTGGTACTTTCACCCCCAGGAATGATAAGGGCAGCAACATTCTCTAATTGTTCTGGCTTCCTAATTTCCACTCCTTTCACTCCAACCCTCCTCAGCGCTACACATACAAAATTCAATACAATTATGACATAAAACATTAAATTGCTTTGTCCCTACCCTTAATCGGGTAAAGACGTAGACGGGATTTGATCTCAAGTCGTAACGGATAACTGTCATACTAACTAGAAACCACAGAATACAGCAAAATAAGTTTTTTAAAAAGGAAGAAAATATACAGAAAAATACCTGCTATGTGTTCGTTAAAAGAACCCTGGAAAGCAAGAACACCAATTGCCATATTTGATTTTATTTTCGTTTGATTAGCAGTGAAAAAGAAGGAGAAAATGAGAAATTAGGAGTAATTTAATAATGAAAATTGAGGAGTGGAGAATGAAGCAAATGTTGAAGCCGTTCGTTTTTTGTTTTTATAAGTCGTAGCTGCTTCTAATGCCTCTCATGCCGCCCTCAAAGGCTCAAAGTCTTAAACCTTTTTCCTTTTTTTTAAAAAAAATTTTAAGAAAGTTTATAGTAATACTGTTTTAATCTTTTACCTTCAATTCAAGATTGAGTAGTGCAGTCCTTTTCAATTTCAAAAAGATTTGCGTGGATCTGGTCCACAATAATATTATTGTGGACCCGAGTTCTATACACACGCAACTAACATTATATTGAATATAGTGATCATTATTTTTAACATAGTAACTTTATTTTTAACCTAGTAACCTTTATTAAAACTAGGGGTGGCAATTCGGGTCAACAGGTCGGGTTCGGGTCAGATTTCGGGTCGATTTCGGGTTATGCTTAGAAACTATTAAAAATAGTGTAAAACTTAATATTATTACGAAATATGAAATTTGGGTCAAATCGGGTCGAATTCGGGTTGTTCGGGTTCGGTTCAGGTCGGGTTCGGGTCTCTCTCAGTAACTTCGGGTCGGGTTCGGATCGGGTTTTCGTGTCGGGTCAGGGTTTGCCAGCCCTAATTAAAACTACTACAACGTTTAATAATATTGTGAACTTGAAATACGACGCTATTACCCTAATTTTAACATAGTGACCTTTATTATTCATATTGATCAGTATATAAAATATTTCATTACAAAAATAACCACTTAGGCCTATATATTACCAAAATGATTTTTATTTCAATATAGTGAACTTTTTTTTAATTATAGTGACTTTTTTTTTTATTAATAAAACAATCATACTTTCTCTAATGTTAGTGGTCCACAATAAATTAGTGTGAACCAAGTCCATTTAAGAATTTGTATTTCAATTTACCTCTTTTATACCCAAGTAGGCAAGTAGTAATGTTATTCGTACCTCTTTTATATCGTGGTGAAGGGGGTCTATTTATGTTATAGCCGTGAAGAAAATTCTATCTCGTGGCGGATCCAGGATTTTCGAACTTATGAGTTACCATCAATAATTAATCACTTGTTTTAATCCAAAAATTATATTAAAAAAAGTTATATTTTACCAAAATAATTTCAATCCAAAAATAAGACATAAAAAATACATACTAATACTATAAAACTGCCTATTTTATATTTTAATAGGCGGTCTCTTTGATATTTATAAAACAGACAGTGGTCTAAACTCAAATAGAAGCAACAAAGAGACCGCCTATCTGAGTAATAGGCGGTCTCTTTTTTCTTTTTTCTTTTTTTTGGTGCTAGTGAGTCACGTGACTCACTGTGCACCTTAATAGATCCGCCCCTGATTCTATCTGATTCATTAGATTGTTATTGAATGATTAACCTGTTTTTCGATATGGCATAAAACAAGTACGATACCAAGGGCTTAATCTGATTAACTAAACTGAGCTTAACTAAATTGAATTGAGCTAAGCTGAACTGAATTGTTTATAATAGAAGAAAATTAGTTACTAAACTGAAATTAAACTGAAGAGAATAAGTCCTAACAAATTCTTATATGTAGTTGGCCACGTGATGTGGTCAACCATCACTGGGGTTACTTTGTTAGTGTCATATGGGTTATTCGGTTAGTGTTATAGGGGTCACTTTGTTAATTTTACAAGTGGACACATGGTGTGATCAGCCGCACAGAAGACTTGGTGTAAGTTTTATCATCTTAGTTGATTTTGGTAAGAGAGTGTTTAAATGTTGTATTTTTTTCCATTATATAATGATCATAAGGCAATTTCACATTTTCACAACTTTAATTCTTATTTTTTTAAAAAGGTATAAAAAATTGTTTTCCAATTTAATGAAATATAATAAATTTATTTTCTGTGAAATAGTGAATAGTTGGATCATAATATACAAAATATTGAATAGGATGGCAATTTCACAACTTTAGTTTTAATTTTAAAGTTTTAAGATTTTGTTTTTTTTATTGAATGAATTATAATAAATTTGTGAATAGTGGTAGAAAAAATTTGGATCATATCATCAAAATATTGAATAATAATAATAATAATAATTATAATAATTATTATTATTATCATCATTATCATCATTATTATTATTATATGTAAGTCCGTGCGATGCACGGATTTTATTCTAATATTTATGAATCTTTGTTTTGTTTTGATTTTTTTTTTCTTTTTTAAAAACTTATAAATCTTTTTTTATAAATCCCTTTGTACGTTATAGTATTTTTTTTTTTTGAGGGATACGTTATAGTTTTTTTTAGATTAGTCTAAGTATTTATTAGAGATTGAATATGTTAATTCTAATGAAATTTTTTTTTTTTTTTTGTGTGTTAAAATGTTGTATTTATTTTGAAGAAAAATATTGTAATTCCAAAGCTAAAATAAACATGATCCATATAAGGAAATTATTTCCTTCAATATATTTTGGACAAAAGTCTTGGATGAAGTTGGATTTAATTGAGGCATGCACGTAATCACCCTACAATAAAAAATAAGAAATTAATTTAATCTTTTTTTATAATATTAATTAATAAAAAAACCAAAAAGGTGTATATTAATAAAACTTAATAAAGGTAAACAATTTATAAAATTATAATACCTCATTGTCCATTAGAACCATATCCAAACTTATTAAGGTATCTTGTTTGCGGATGTCTAGTACGTCAAATAGGCGAGAACTCGTACTTTGATTTTTCAATCATTGTTGCTCGAATTTAATTCCCCTATTAAATTATATGGGCATGTAAAAACAAAATTCAATAAATTAAACAAAATATAAACATATAATCGTTAAATATCCTAAAAAACATAATGTAAGTAATAGTTACAAATCTAATATATATATATATAAAGGGGAGTTTTTTCCCGAGTTTTTAGAGAGCCACATAGGATCTAATTTTCTTAGTGTGCCATGTAGGATTATAAATTTTAGTAGTAACCAATTAAATAGGAGATTATTAAAATCTTTTATAATTAAATAATTCAAATGCCACGTAAGCAAAATTGGCGAATAAGATTTTCCAATTTAAATTAATTAAATATAAAATATTATCTTTTGATATTAGGAATTTTATCTAAACATATAACAAATTTTAGCACATAAATATATGTATAAAAAAATTATTTTAAAAAATTCAAACAAACAGTGCATCGCACGGGCTTCATCTAGTATAAATTTAAACATGAATTTTAAAAATTAAGCTAAGATTTACCCAACCATTGATGACTTAAGACTGAGAGAAAATTACTAACACAAATTCGCTTGATGGGGTTTTGTAAATTTCGTTGATGTCGTATGATGTGTCAATTTATAATGCTGTAAAAAAATTATCTTATAATCACAGGCATAACAAATTTCATTGAAAACGTTTATCATTTAAAATCTAATATTATTTGTAATATAATTTTAAGTATTATTTATTTATTTTTTTGAGATTGTATATTATCAAAAATTATCTTTTAATGCACAATCTCATGATAACTTATATAATGCACGTTATCTTACCGTTGTTGATGAATACAACATATCAAAATATTGTAAGATACCATGCGATATCAAATACATGTGATTTGACTTGGTTTATCAAATGCTAATTTATTTTACCAAACCATTAATATCAAAATCTAATTTTTTAAATAAGATTTTTTTTTTGGTGAACAAAGAGGGAAAAAACCCAAGACAAAGCAAAGAAAAACAAAGAAGAAAGCACAAAAGAAAGCACAAAAATAAAAAACTAAACTAGGCCTTATCCGAGGGGACAAGTCTAGCTCTAGCCACACCACTCAAATCCTCCAATAAAATAGCACGAAGGTCCTCCGGGACCGCCCCAAAAATCACCATCTTTTTTACCGAGTTGACACCATAGTTGGCTAGCCAGTCCGCAGCCCGATTAGCTTCTCTATAGCAATGACTAAGTGTCACTTTCCAACCGTCGCGAGAAATGATGGCCTTACACTTTCTGATGATATTAATGAAGGGAGAGTTAGCTGGGCAAGGCTCAACTAACATACGAAGCACACACTCCGAGACTAGAGAAACTTGAACAAGCCTATGGCCAGCATTCCATGCCACTGCCAGACCACGCAAAACACCCAATAATTCAGCTTTGTTGTTCGAGCAAATCCCACAATTAGTTGCAAATAATTCAAAGAGTTCACCATTGTAGCCACGAATTAAACCCCCAGCACCTGCTTGACCCGGATTACCCTTTGAAGCTCCATCCGTATTGAGTTTAACCCACCCCACATTCGGAAGCTCCCACCTGATATATCTCTCAACTCTTCTGCTTGAACCTCCAGGATTAAACGTTATGGGATTCACCATAGCTTGATTAATGTCAAGGACCCTGGCCATAATGAAGGCTTCCTGATCAGGAGGGATCCTAGGAGAAGCACCAAACACCCTCTCATTTCTCCAACGCCACAACCACCAACAAGTAACCATGAACACCACCTTGCGAGCCTCACCCTCTAAAGAATGTTCAGCTATAACATTATGCAAAATCCATTCACTACAAGGCATCGAATTGATTATCAAGTTAATATCCCAGCCTAATTTTCTCCACACCAAAGCAGTTGTTGGGCACACACGAAGAATATGATTAATGTTTTCTTCATTGGCACCACACACACTACAACGAGGATCAGTTGTCATCTTTCGAATAAAACGCATGACATTAGTCATTAGACGATCTCAAACAGCAAGCCAATGAACATACGGACCCTTTGCGGAACACGAGCTTTCCATATAGCCTTCCAACCTTGACTCTCTTTAGCTGGAATTTCCACCTGACCTCTGATTATCTTGATAGCTGAAGAAATTGAAAAACCCCCAAACGGGTTACCATTCCAGAACAACTCATCCACAGCATCATCATCACTTAGCACTTCATGAGAAGCTATCAACTCAAGCACATCCGAGCTAAAATACTCAGCAAAAAACTCATATCTCCAGCCCGAATTAAAATCCCAATAATCACGGACCGGATTATCAATAACATCTAGGGGAGGTTTAGGATTGGCTAGTTCATACATCGGTTCAGGAGCAGCCCATCTATGGGTCCAAAAAGCGATTCGATCTCCT